TTAAAAAGTTAATAACTTTTTAACTTAACTTAGTTAATTTTAAATGTATTAAATTTTAACTTAACTAAATTATTTTTAAACGTTAACTTTTTTTTAAGTTAAAAAATTTTTTTATCTCTTTTAAATATCTTAGAAAAATAATAAGATATAATAAGGCAGATATATTAAAGGCATATATTCGTAATCTGTTTATATTTTAAGACCATATTAAGTAATTTCTTAAGATACTAATACAGCTCTCTGATTGATTTATACCATTGATTGATTATGCCTTAAGTCATTGATAGGCCTTAAGAAATTGACTAATTACAGTCAAATATTCTTCTCACATTCGATTGTAATTGGTCAATTTCTTATGGCTTAAGAACTTATTAAAAAGTAATAAAAAGTCACTGATCTTGTATCTTCTTTATGTGCTGGCTGTTTTTTTAAAATTATATAATTTATATATTGTAATTATATCGTTATGTGTTATATACTTATATCACATATGAATAAAAAAATTAAAAATTTAACTTACTTAATAATCTATATTGTGATTATTTAATCTCTAATTTTAAGAAAAATTAGGACATTATGATTTAAAAAATAATTTTTTCAAAATTAACTTTTTTTTAAATTTAAGTTAATTCAATATTGACTTAATTTACGTTAAGTTAATTTTTTATTCCTTCAACTTTTAACTTTATTAATTTTGTAAAGCCATTAACTTTAACTTTATTCAGTTAAAAAAAACATTAACTTACCCAACTCTGAATTATACATATATAAGATCACTCGCAGGCATTAATAATAATGCTGCAAAAAGTTTGACAATTTAATCAATTTGAATCAATTTGAATCATTATTCAGATGGATATTTATTCATCCAACGTTTATTCATCCAAATTCTTCAGAGTATTTAACTAAATTTTTAGATATGCTTCAACAAAAAGCGTTCTTATCGGTGGTGAATTATTCTAGTGGATAAGAGGATCTAATGAATTCCACACATCGTAATACAGTAAGTATATATGTCACAAAAAAATGTTATTTTTATTAATACGAGCGATATATTACACATGTAATATATTAGCTTATACTCATTTGTTTACATGTTTTGTATATACGTACGCCAAATATATGCGCGTCGAGATACACGCGCATGGCACTCGTAACGTGTTCGTTAATATCTGAACTCTGCTTTCTTCTAGCGATAAAATAATCGTGTGCTCTACAATTCCTACGAGCGCTTTAATTAACGTAATTAACATTCTCCTATATATTCACACAAGACGACCAAGATCAATTAGGGATGTGACAATAACAAATAGAAACGCAATAATTTCGTAATAATAAGAAATAAAATTAATAGCTTCGCCATTTGTGTCGATTATCTTCTGGCGAATGAAAATGTGTTAAATTTTTCTCCAGCAAGAAATTCATCGAGATTATCAGATTATTATCGATTATATCCCCATTTGAACCTAGTCGAGTTCGTGAACAAAAATTGCACGAATCTATGTACATGACTGCCTTTTTGGAACGCCTATCTATCGTTCGATCCTCCATGATGAATCCTCCAATACGCATGAGAAGTTGTCGTGAAACGCGAGAAGGTACATAAGTACGGATCATATTTGAGTTAACAGGACCATCTCGCAGAGAGACGTATTTCCCGCGGGAGCGTACATTTATTGTAAAGGATCGTTTTTAAATCTACAATCGCGTATGCGCATTTATATGTAAGAGCTACCGTAGAAAAATACTGCTTCTCTTTCGTTTCTAGAACACGAGCTGCGCTCGCGAGAACAGCACCCGGCAAAAGTGACGCTAAAATACTAGCTTACTAAACATCGTGATTTAATTTTTAGCTTCTAGTTGTCGGTATCTATATTATGTGCCCGATGAATACACTCCCAATATTCGAATAAATGAACTTTCTAAAAACTTTTAGAATGAATTGTTGCATTCTAAAAAGTGAAATTTCACTTTCAAAGATTAAAAATTGAACTACTCTTTTTCAAGACTGGCTCAATTTTCATAAAGGAATTTAGAGAGAATGAATAATGAATAGAGAATGAATATGAATAGAGTATGAATATATTCTTTTTTAGTATTCATCGAGAAGAAATAAATAATATTCATTCGATTCAAATAAATATTTTTGTGAATATGATTACAAATATTTTTGCGAATGTGATTACAATTTTTTATTTCATATTTACTCCTACTCTGCATTATTTGCACATAGCTTGCAAGCATAGAGTAAAAAAAAATCAGTAAAAACAATGAAACCGGCAGAAAGAAATAATATTTAAACTTATATAAGTCTTTTTTTTTAATTACATAAAGTTATTTACACATTCCTGTTGTTGCATCTAATTCCTCAATTAATATTATGTTCAAGAAAATCACATTCGCGTAAAGGAATGTAAAAAGAATAATGTACGCATAATGGAACCATCATTATAATAGTTGTTTCTTTTTCTACATTCAATTAACGATTACAGATTTTATAAAAACAAGATTTAATATTATTTAATAATATTATTTAATAATATATATAACAATATTATTTAATAATATATATATAATAATAATCGCTTAGAATTATCATCAAATGTTATAGAATATTAAAGAATAACGATTGCTTGTAGAGGCTTCATTTTTTAGTTTACATTTTGTTTGAATACTTTGATTATTTTATATGCGAATATTTGTAAAATAATTGTAATATTTTCATGAATAAATATTGTAAATTCAAAATGTTGAATAAATATAGGAATACATATTTTTATAATGTGAAAATTTTAAATAAATATAATTTATAACTTAACATAACTCTTTTATACAAATTTTGCATATTCATTTTCGTACTCATTAGGCATACTGATAGATGAGATATCGATCTTGTGCGAAAGTTTCACCAATATTGTTTATTCCTAGTAAAAATCTAAGTTTATCCGGACGGCGAAAGTTCCGCAGAAAACTAATAAATATATTATAATCACATATTTCTATCATCATTATCGTTATATATTTTATTTAAGGTCGAACGCGTGAGATACTTATGATTCTCGTTTTCATTCGACGCTACATATTATTAATATTAAATATTTACTGAATATTATATTATATATGTGTGTATGTATACCCAAAAAATTAATGTAATAAAAGCAAGGCAATATTTTCTATCAAATCATAAATATGAAAACACTTTTCTTTTAATATTTAAAAATTTAAAAATTTTGGACCCAACATCTTATTACATATTTATTAATATCCGGAAATTTTTTTTGGACGACTAGAGTTAAGTCATCTCTATATAAACAAAATATAAAATATATAAAGGAAAAAGAATGAGAATGGATAAGGCATTTAAAAGTCAAAGATTACAAAGATAATGAATATTCACAATTAAAGCTTTTTCAAAAAAACGATAAGCAATAAAATTCAAATTTGATGGAAAATACTACCGAACTTGCGTTTTTCAGGAAATACTCCATACATTAGTATAATATTTAAATATAAATTGCATTGGCAGGACATTGCACGAATGCATCTGTTGCAGCCACGAAAACTCGTACCACCTACTCTCTAAATAAATAATAATCAACTATTCTTTACCTGTCGTTCAAATGATAAATATTTCCTAAATTCGATTCTTTTATCAGGAAACCTTTGAAAATTATTCGCATAATGAGCAACGCGTATGCGCGTAAATTCAAGTTCAATAAAAACTTTATACCGATTAATACCCGAGTAGAGTTTACGTGGCTAACATACGCACAAATATTTTCCTATTTCTATCTATCGAGCCGTGCCACGCGACGATTATTATATCAAAGGCCCATTTGAAGACACATCTTTGCACGACAGATTGGCACGCGTGGAAACGGACGGTAAAAAATACGAGATACACAAATTGCAAATATAAAGATCTACTAATATTAAAAGGACTAGATTCACGGATAACCCGTGCGTTTCGGTCGATTATTTCTCGTCATTGCGTATCTCTATTATATATCTCTAATGCTCTTATTACATTGACAGAAGTCAAATTTGTGTATGAAATAATTCTAGAATTTAGAACGATAGAACGATAGATACTCACGCGCATCGCTTTTCCTCACATCGGAAAAAAATAAAGAAAATTTATTAAGTTCCGTATTTTTTTAATTTATCGAACACATAAAAATATATTATTCAAGATGATAACTCATGAATGCGATAAGTTCAATCGAGAACCTACTACTTAAGTTTAGCCTAAAGAATTAGGGAGCGATCATCGTGATGTTTTCTCGTCGTCATCGTTCAGTGAAACAACAGGTAATTTCGATCGTAAATCTCTAATGCATGGGGGAGAATAAATTATCCCGCGTTACGTATAACAAAACAACAGTCCTCAACTAAGCGATTATTCGGAAATGTAAATCATAACTTTGTTCCTCCTTCAAATTTAGTAAATACTTGCGTACTTGCATATATTCTCTTTTTTCTTCTGATATTTCGACATGTATCGCTACAGTTGAATCAGTATTTCCGAAACATATCTCAAACAATTTTATACGCGTACTTTGTAGAACATTGTTCAGTAGAGGATTAGAACAATCCGATATTGATAAAAAAAATATTATAGTCGAAAAATCCAAAGTGATGATACTAGGATGTTTTGTAGAAGCGAAACGATGCATACCGCAAGTTTGTAAAGCAGAATATGCATGCGTGTTCCATCAGTATGTCACAGACGTAAATAGGCGACCGAAATGGTTCGGGAAGCACTAGTCTAAATTAAAGTACATGTACTTTCGTCTTGTTCGCGTTACTTCTGAGTAA